ACACTCCGAGGTGCGTGTGCGACACAATCTTTCCGGAGGCGGCAGTGGCCAGGCCCGGATCAAAGCCCAGGGCCTGCAGGTACATCCAGAGGTGCCGCTTCTTGAAAGAAGTGGCGGGGCCCGAACTCATCCTCTCGGCAGGGGCTGGGACTTCCGAGAAAGCCGGCGCAGGCCGCCCGCCACGGCGACGGCCGTCAAAGACCTCTCCTCCCTACAAGCGGCCTGGGTTCGTGGCGGCCCCTCCGGGGACACCGCCGGATGCTTGCTCGCCCGGTGCCATTACGCCTCGAACGATCCAAATAGTTCGAGAAAGCGGAGTCTAAACGCCGAGACGCCTCAAGGAACCCAGCGGAAGCGGCCGCAAACAAGACTCCCGCGCTTCAGGAAGAGCGGTGTGCGCCTGCGCAGGCCTGAGAACTGTTTTTCCCGCCATGCAGTGCGCCGTTGTCCGTTGCTTCCGGTCATACCCTATGGTGTAAAACTACAAGGTCCATGGTGCACTGCGCGGCCAGGAACTTTCCCCTAGGGTTCGATGTTATCCTACCTACCGAGGCCCTACGGCTTAGAAGTTCCCAATTTTTTTTTTTTTTTGTCGGTTGTGGGGCTTGAACTCTGGGCCTGGGCGCTGTCCCTCAGCTCTTCAGCTCAAGGCGAGCGCTCTACCACTTGAGCTACAGCGCCACTTCCGGTTTTCTGGTGGTTTATTGGAGATAGGAGTCTCATGGTCTCTCCTGCCGGGGCTGGCTTTGAACCGTGATCCTCAGATCTCAGCCTCCTGAGTAGCTAGGATTACAGGCGTGAGCCACCAGCGCCCGGCTTGAAGTTCCCAATTCTTAACGTCTGCTGTGGCATTTTGTGCGCGTGAGTCAAGTCAGACAAAAGTTGCAGATGGAGTACAGTAGCCTGCTGTAGGGAGGTAAGTACTAGGTGTATGACCTTGAACGAGCCACCGGACTTCTGAACCTCAGTTGTAGCATTAGCAAAGTTTCTGCACACTCAAATGCTGGATGTCCCTTTCATCATGTTCTACCTCAAATCTGGCACTTCTAAGCACCCTTGAAGCACTCTCCCGCGATGGCTATGCTCTTTTCCACACTCTTTTACAACAGAAGCGGGGTAGGTATCCTACTGTCTTCATGTTGACAAGTATGGCAGTCATCGACTCCCAGCTTACTAAGACCATCAGTTCCTTTCAAGTTTGTGCTGCTGTTTCTGGCCAATGGAGTTCTCCGGATTTCCCTCAGTTCTTAGATTGCACCAACTAAGGTTAGGATGCTGCTCCCAGGTGCAATAAAGGATTCAGCAAGAGGAGAAAGATAGCCTGGAGTGATCCACAAAGCTGAACTACAGTACATATTCGAAGAGGTCAGGCAGGCAGTTGGATAAGGACTCAGAGTGACAGCTGTCTGGGGATTAGGGTCCTAGTAACCAATCAGATAGTAGATATTGAGGCCCTCCCAAATGGTTTGACAACTGAACAGTAGCTGCCAGGGTGTGGGAAGTTTGAGCTTGTGAAAGATTAAAGGCAGGGGCTGGGAATGTGGCTTAGTGGTAGAGAAGCCCCTGGTTCAATTCCCCCGTACTACATAAACTGAAAAAAACGGAAGTGGTGCTGTGGCTCAAGTGATAGAGTACTAGCCTTGAGCAAAAGAAGCTCAGGGATAGTGCCCAGGCCCTGAGTACAATCCCCAGGACTAGACAAAAAGAAAAAAAGAAAAGAAACAAGGAAGAAAAGAAAGGAAGAAAAGGAAGGAAGGGAGAACGAGAAAGAGAGATAGATGGATGGATTGGGTCACATTAATGAAAAAAAGTATGTGCAATAATTTAAAAAATATTTATGGTAAATTAGTTTGAGGCCTGAATAAATCTTCCTAATATTTGTATTACTCCAGTAAAGAAAAACACAAAGAATGAAGCTACCCACCTTTTGTGTTATCAGTGTTGTAACTGCAGAAAATTGACTGTAAACTTTTAGCCTACCATCAAAACTTAATTCTAACCTGCATGTTAGAAATGTGATTAAAATTAATAGAGGAGATGGAAAAGAGAGAGAGAGTAGAGGAGGGAGAGAGGGAAAGGAGGGATAAGGGCAGTCACTTTTTTTCCTTCCTGAATTATCCTTGATATATGGAGGGAACTCCATCAGAAAGTAAGACCATTAGTTTAGTAACTGGTCCAGGTATGTACCATTGTTTTGTTTTGTTTCTCATGGATGTGGGCCATATGGACTCTTAGGAAATGAAATGGGGGAGGAGCACCTGTATTTCCTCTGCGCGTGGTCCTGTCTTCTTGAAGAATTAGAAAAATTAGGGCTGCGTCCATTTTACAATTTGCTAACTGCTGATTCTGCTTCTGTAAACTTGCTTACGCTGGCACTGACCCTTCCCTTCCCAGAAAAGAAGTTTCAGGGACCAGATGCCGGCCCCAGGACAAGGTCAGTGGTCGTAGATAAAGAACAGACAGTACGAGTTCCTCAGTTCCCATTTAGAAATTCCCCAGACAGGACCTTGAGATAACGACCACCTGGCAAGACCACAAGCTAAGCCAAATGTCAACCAATCATAGGCCTGTAACCATGTAAACCCCCCTTAGACCAACCATGGGCCAGTCATTTTACAAAGAGTGTTACAAAATTTCCCGCGTGGCAAAGTGATTGTTGGTGTATATGGTGACCTTTAAATGGACCAATCATGGGATGCTTTGTGTTATGCGTTAATCTTGTGGTTTTTGCCTTTAAAAGAAGGCTTGTAACCGCTGCTCAGGGCTCCCTGTCTGCTCGGGACAGAGAGTCCGTTTGCGCAAACGTTAAACTCCTCTTGTTTATTGCATCTCCCGGCCTGGAGTCTGAGTTTTCTGGGGCGCCCTCCCGTTGACGAAAGTTTCCTAGGGGACTAGGGTCTTTCATTCTTAGATGCCTATGCTAACACTATAACCTGTCACTCTTCATGTGGAGGTCATTTATAAGATCTCCAAATCATGTGGAGGATGTAGCTCATAGGAAAAGCACCTGCTTAACATGCATGAGGCACAGTTCTGTTTCCAGTCCTGGAGAGGAAAAAAAAACTTTTAGCAAAGTGTATGGCTCAGACCTATGTGGGAGTTGGAGGCAGAAGAGTGTACAGTTTGACTCAGTTCTCTGCTAAATTAGTAAAGCCCTACCTTGGAAACAAAATACAGAACAAAAGGGCTGGAATGAAGCTCTACTAGCCCTGGGCTCATTCCCCAGGCCTGAAAACAAAACAAACAAACAAAAGACCCTCCAGATCTATGATCTTGTTCTAATAGTTAATTCTTAATCCCCTCCAACATTGTTCCCAGAGTTTTTGGTGATAATGTACTTGACGTTTTCAATGCCCTGGCTTCTCAGTTAACTGACTAATTCTCCAATAATTTTATCTTCCATTCCATCTCAGCCACCTACATTCTGGTACCTAAGCATAAACCTTTTCATTATCAATTACTACAACACCACCTTAAGCTGGAGTTCAGCCTCTATTCCTACCTTTCTAGCTCAGTCCTAAATCTTATTCTAGTTCTTAGGTCATGACAATGTCTAATCCTTTTCTTTCTGTGATACCAGAAATTCCATCCCGAGGACTCAATGCTAAATTAGAAATAATGAGAGCAGAGTTTGAGAAAAAAAGGAAGTAAAAGTTGACTCATTTTTCCAGGCAAATTAGGACTGCAATGAGCTACTACCTCAAAAGCTGTAGTCCTAGCTAGGTGCCAGTAGCAAATGCCTGTAATCCTATCTACTCAGGAGACTAAAATCTGAGAATCTCAGTTCAAAGCTAGCCTAAGTAGGAAAAGTCCTTGAGACTCTTCCATTAACCACCAAAAAGGTAGAAGGTGGAAATGGAGCTAAGGATTAAGTGGTAGAGCAGTAGTCAAAAAAAATAATGTATGAGAGATTGAATCTTGAAATTATTTTTAAATCACTGAATTCATGAGTGTGTGTGTGATAGATTGCTAGACTTTGTCAGAGAACCACGCAGACATCTGGGTACAGAGAAAAAAGAAAGTTTTTTTGCTGGGAAAGGGGCCAGCAAGACCCCTTCTCACAAGGGAGAAGTGAGAAGAAGCACCAGCTATTGTCTGAGGTGACCTATATAACTTAGGAGGTCTAGGAGGGGCTAGATGGGCCTAGGAGGTGGAGCCCCTGGTGTGGATGTGTGGGCCAGGGGCTTCATCATGGCAGACTAGTATTTATGGTTGCTGTTCAAATAGTAGGTAAGGGTCCTGCAACTGCCCAGACCTGAAAGTTACTCTAAGGGGCTCCTGTTGCCGCATATGGTAGTAGCTGCCCGAGAGAAGTGCTATCCTAAGGTAGAGGGCTTTGGAGGCTGATTATTTACTGCCTTTGCAAAATGTGCCTCTGTTGCCTAGGAAAGGAGCATGCCAAACTGTGGAGAGGGGAAGGAGTGCACTAAGCTATGGGAAGAGAGCTCATCTCGCTAACAGAGTATGGGGGGGTGGGGAGAAGAGAGAAGGTATGGGTGTGGGAGTGGGGGTGTGGGGGTGGGTGTGAGACAGAGATTCAGGGACCTAGTAACTCATTTGAATCATCATGAACTTTGAGTGACCCAAAAATCTGGGCTTTGTATCACACGATGACCTTTAGTTCGTTTATTTCCCAACATTTCAGGCTTTAATCTCTTGCTGTCTGAATATCTCTTCTCTGGGCAAGGAATATGGCTTAGTGGTAGAGTGCTTGTCTAGCATGCAGGAAACCCTGGGTTCGATTCCTCAGTACCACATAAACAGAAAAAGCCAGAAAGTGCACTGTGGCTCAAGTGGCAGAGTGTTAGGCATGGGCAAAAGAAGCTCAGGGACAGTGCCCAGGCCCTGAATTCAAGCCCCAGGACTGGCAAAAAGAAAAAAGAATATTCCTTCACTCTTATCTCTTGCTGTCCAGAGTATTCCACACTCCCGTATATAAAGAGTGACCTTGCCTGGAACTGAAAATATGTTCCTGAGTTTCCTCATATGGGAAAGTTGTGAGGAGAAAAGACAAAGTGAAAAATACACCAAGTTAAACTTTTGCTTAAATAACTGTATAAATAAAGCAGACTGGCAAAAAATAAAGCAGACTGACTAATAAAGTAATTTACTGAGTTAAAACTATCGTTGAAATCATAGTTGAGTGTCTGTTTCTATTGCATCTGTAATGTCTTTTACTCCTGTAACATTATGACTTAAATATATCATAAGCTTTCCAGCTCCTTCGTCTCTGTCAAATTTATTTTGGCGAAACCTTGGGAAAACCTCAATTTCTTTTCTTTTTTTTTTTTTTGGTCGGTCGTGGGCCTGAACTCCGGGCCTGGGCGCTGTCCCTTAGCTCTTCAGCTCAAGGCTAGAGC